GCGTTAAACTCAACTACTACTACTACTACTACTACCAAATCTCAAATTTAAGCAATGAATGTTATTGTTGCTTTTATTCTATATTGTATAGATTTAAAAAAAATTTAATATTACCCATTACACCCATTACAGACCCATTACATGTTTATTAATACCCATTTTTTCTATTCTTTTTTTGTAATTAACCCTAGGAAGAGCGATTGTTTAGTACTTATCTACCATCTATACCAGACATAAATATTTTGACATTGAACAAATGTCGGTACGTAAGAATTTCGAATCATTCGAATGATGCATTCCTTAATTTTTTTTATAACCCTTAAATGTAATCAATTTTATGTTTCATTCGTCCAAATAGCATGCTAAAGAACTGGACATTTGATGATATATGGTTTTTCAACGGCAATATTCATTTGCGTAATAATTCAATGCCTGCTTTCAAAGTATGTTTAATATATGATCCAAATTCAGCTGACAAGTGTATTGAAACTTACGGAGCACTTAAGTTTGGCAAAATAAATCGTCAATTTTGTCCCATTCACATGAAAGAAAGGGATTTTCCTGTTTTCCGCATGGAAGTTCAAGAGCTTAAATCCAAATTGCCAAGTAATTTATTGCCATTGTGTGAAACGAGCTCTCATTTGTCAGATTTTGATGAAAAGATGAACGAATACTGTGTAAAGGCCCAAACAAAAGTTAATGAAATTCAGCAGCTCTGTCGAGAAACACAAGCATTGATCAAAGAAGAAAAAGGGTAAAATATTTATTTCAAATTTCGAACCGATCTGTATGATTTATAACTATTTATTCATATTTATAATCCACAGATTAATCTATATTATCAAGACTATGTTGGATTTCGAAGGACACAACTATCAGGATTACATAATCGAACTAAGTGATATTGATAGCACCGAATGGCGTAATGTACGAACAAATCCACGACGTGTATTGAATGAAGAAATAAAGACTGTACCAAGAGGTATACCTTTCATCAAAGAGCTGTTGACAAACGACTCAAAATACGTACCATGGAAATGATTTCTCATAAATGTTTCTTTATATTTTCGATTTATATCAAACTAAATTATTGCTAAATATCCAGCTTGCTTGTATTTTTATTTAATGTACTGTGTGTCTGAAACAAACAGCTAAAAAACTTTGTTTTTTTTTTTCTTTATTGATAAAAATAATTTATAATACAGATTATATTTTTGTAGGTACGAAAAAAACTCATCAAAAAATAAAAAAATAGTTTCAAGATACCTGGATAATGTAAATCCGATTAAATAATTTATTCCATTTCTGATACCAGAATAACTGAAATGAGCTATATGAGCTAAGAGAAAAATCTTGAATATAACCAATAACCAAAATATGATATTTAAATATCAACCTGAAATTAATTGATAAAATTTCCGATATTCATTTCATTTCCACATTCATTCCAGTGTATTTATTTTAATGATCAAGTGAATGAATACATCATTCAAAGTATTGTCCATCGCTAGCCACTACTTTTTCCCATTTCTCAGGCAATTTTCGGATTCCATGTCTAAAGGACTGTATTTTTCAGGTATTTAGATGAAAACCGATTTAGTGACCGAGTCATTTTTCGTCTTTTTTAAAGTTTGCACTAGAGGTCGCAACGGGATGGAAAGATCGAACCGAGGCCCGATCAAATTTCCTGTGTCTTGCCCGAGTCCGGCCAAAGCCCGACCCAAAATTAATTTTTTTCCCGAAACCCGTGATTCCCCAAACTGGAGCACTCGGTATTTGTTGAATTTTCGGGTCTAAGGTCCCCGTATTTTTTGTAAGAAGATTCAACTGATACAAAAAGTTTAAAAAAAAATGGTTCTAACATTATTATTTTCTGTTTTTCGCGAGATTTTCTAAAAAAGTTCCAAAAAACACTCGATTTCGGGCTAATCGGATTCGGACGCCCATGATACCGAACTTCCGAAATATCCGAAAAATCCGAACACCCGAAGCACTTTTTTCGGGTCAAGCTCGGGCGGTCATCGGTCGGGCGTTCAGGTCGGGGCCCGTTGCGATCAGAAACGGTGCACTGCATCGATTGAAATGAGTGGTATTCAGAAAGAGAGATGTCCAGTGAGTACAGCGGGGGTATAAAGATTTTTTAACGATCTACTTTTCAAAAAAAAACACTTTTTAATTTTTTTTTAGAAATATTGAATTTTTCTACAATTTGTTTCATTTCAACCAAAAACGATCAGTCTACATCAATTTCACACGGTTTATTTGTTGTAATACAACAAATAAACTATTCATAAAAAACTTTATGTTGCAGTATTATTTGGAGAAAAATAAGAGCTACTCTTTCGCCGCAACGATTCATATGGTTTTTTATGCTTGAAATTTTTGAAATAGATCCCTCCTTTACAATCAATATCAATTCAATACGAAAATGAATCCATCTCAGTAGGGTGGTTCGATTTTTGTGAAAATTCAGAAGGGATACTGGCTATAGTTATTAGTTATGGAAAAATATGTAAGATTTACGAATATGACGGTTTTTTTACATAATTGATGTCACAGACCTATCGCCTCCAGGGGTCCATTTTTTGAAATTTGACCAAAAATTTCAATTTTTCAAAAAATTTCAACACATTTTAAAAACATTTTTTCTGGTTCGTAACGCTGCTAATTAAGTGCCGCCAAAGACCGCCAAAGGAGCTCCCGGACTTAGCTCTACCTAGAAACAGGGTCCGGACATGACTGATCATTTTTAAAAAAAATGACCCAACAAAACAAAATTTTAACTCATTATTGAGATGGTCTGATTTTACTGAAATTGTCCGACTCACTCTGTAACCTTTTGAGAATGTCGAATAGAGATTATCTGTGTGTTATGTTTGATCAATACTTTCGATTCTACATGCCCGCCCTACTCAAGACTTTTACAACAAATGTCGAAAATAACCAATCTTTTGAAATTTGCCTGTGCACCAAAAAGTAATTTTGTCCACAATATGCCATGTTTTCGTCCTGAAATATTCTAATTAGGACATGACAGAT